CTCTCTTGCGTGCTGTTTTTGTATTTCATAAAAATTGACACAATGCCAGAATCAAGAATATAACGAAATTTTTAATTCGTTGACCTATATAGTTTTCTTTCTATTATCTTTTTTATTAATGTTTTATTATGATCAAGTTTTTCTATTATTACATGCATATATGGAAATTACTGTTTCCTTTCTCTTACTTTGTCGCTGTATTCAAGAAAAATAAAGAGAATACTGCTATACAATTTCTTCATGAATCTGCACATTTTTGATTGGCTTGATAACTATACGCGAAACAAATAACACGGACGAACTGCAGCATGTGCCATTCGACTCATCATGTCCCCTTCGATCATTAGACTTAAGCTATTTTTCTTCCAGAATAGAACCGAAAGTTCATGTAAAATGTTCTAAGATTTTATATGATCTTGTAACACTCTTACAAATATTCCACTGGATGTTTGTAGATTCCTGTGTAATCTTGTTTCAAGCTATCGTCAAATATTTGAATGATTTTACACGATCTGACATCTAAGCCTTTTAATTTTCTGTTATTATAAGATTTTGACGAAAGATTTCACAAGAAAACAACCGATCTCGCAAGTTTCTGTAGGACATGAGTAATAGAACGATTAATTAGTTTAACGTGGTCTTTTCTATTAACGTGAATTCATGGATTTCAAAACGTAGTGCCAAGAGTAGTCGATAACAAGGTTTAAATGATTAGAGTTTTTTACATTTATTTTGTTTCTAGAATAGTAAGCAGAATGAGTTATCAGATTTCGCCATATAGTGACATTTCCTGAGTATCTATCTTTTGGCAAACCATTCATAAATCTTATCGTTTTGAATTTTTCCGTTCATTTGATTTCGTCATTTGAACCATCAAATCAACATTCGATCAATCTGAAAAGTTGTCGTTTTTTTCTATTGATAGCGTTTGTGGCTGTTGTTGTAACAATGGTCATACAACATATAGCTGTTGAAAATAAGGCAACATGGAAGCATTTAAACTTAATTAAAGTGAGTTTGTTTTAATGATTTTGATTTAGAAATGTTTTTTAACATTGATGAATTTTTTTTTACGAATCTAATCAATAGGCCCAGAACTCAATGAACGGTAGGAATTCCTATTCACAGAAAGGCACGCACTCAGTCCTTGGCTAAGGCTTTTATGTTTTTTGGAATGTTTACCATTCGGTCGATAGCATTGTTACGAATTTTTTGAGCTGGTAGGATTGTAAAGCAAACATTTCTCTACAACATGAATGGTTGAACAGCTCTGTACGGTTTGTTCTAAGAGTTTGGCAGCAATGCCCCGGCAAACTGTTCGGACTCGGTCAGTGTTCCTCGGAGCATTACTGCCGAAATCGAACGAAGTTAGTGGACCCTTTCTTTTATAGAAAAATATTTGCTCTACAATCCTACCGGCTCAAAAAAATGCTTAACGATGCTATCGACGGAATGGCAAGCATTCCAAAGAACATAAAAGCCTTAGCCAAGTCCTTGGTGCACGTCTGTTCACAGAGCCACAAAAATGAGTATTACGGATTGTAAACTGCTATCCATTTTGAGGTAGAATGAAACTCAAATAAATCGAAGAGATGTTTCCCTATACACATGACAGCTGCAGTAGAGAACTGCTTATTGATGTAAAAAATATATATAGCTATGATTGCATGCGACCGAGAATCAAAATCTGTGACAGTTTCTAATCTTGTCAAAATCAACTTTAAATAGACTGACTAGCAGCATTAGACGTTCTTGTTTTTCAAATATAATCATTTTCCTGCTCTTTTAGATTAATAGGCTAGTCACATATGTTGAACAGAAGTGGCTTTAATTTAACTAGTATCCATTGTCCCGTCGATACTACATTATTTGTACGATATGTTGGTACAACAGTAGTCATATTGGGCTATATTGGAAATTTTTTGTCAATCTATATATTTAGTCGTAAGGCGTTACGTACTCGTTCTTGTTCTTGGCTATTTTTAGCATTAGCTATTAGCAATTGTTTTGTATTGACTGGTTACACAACAGAATCCTTATTATTACATGGTTATTACATCAAAGTTTTATCGCACTGGTCACTGTGTAAAATGGTTATATTTCTTATTTATGCATCAACGGATATTTCAAATTATTTATTAACAGCCGCTGCAATCGATCGTTGTATAGCCGTTAATTGTATATCGGCAAGACATACATTTTGTAAACCAAAGATTGCTAAATGTGAAATTTTATTCCTTATAATAATTATGTCTTTTATTAATGCTCATTTTTTATTTGGTTTTCATATGGATAAAAAGAAAAATTGTAGTCCAAAAAAGCATCAGTATGAAATTTTTTTTATACATCACTATGATTCCTATGTGGATATAATTAAATCAATTTTAATACCCTTTACAATTATGATTATTTGTAATCTAATAATAATATTTCGTCTGTTTCGGAAATTACCCATAACTATTAAGCACAAAAAAAGTCAACGTCGACAAGAAAAAGATCGTCAATTAACACTTTGTCTTGTTATTACATCGTTCATATTTTTCATTCTTACATTACCATCTGAAGTAAATGACTTTTTACGATCAAAAATTAATCAAAAATCTCAAGAAAAATATGTATGTCAGTTATGGTTTTTAACAACTGTTTTGATTATCATTTATCAAATTAATTATGCTTCACATTTTTATATTTATACACTTACGGGTAGTATATTCCGTAAAGAACTGAAGAAAATTTGTTTTCTAAAAGAACGACATTATTTATACTCTGAATATCACAAACGGAATAGTATTATTGAACAATATCCATATTAATTATCGCAACATTTCAATCTAATTGTTGTTTTGTATCATCGATTTGTCAAGTTTTGCTTAATATATACTTTATCTATAGAGAGTAACACATTAAAATATGATGCAAAATTCTTTGAAAAATAGAAAGAGAAAAATGAGTACACCGATACGACTGAACTGTCTCCTTTTCGTTCAAAAACTTTATAATTAAAAAGAAAGACGAATTTGTTTATTCTATGTCTCAGTGACCGTTGTGTTATCTTAGAAATATTCCAAAATTGCTCGGAAAATATTATTTGTCCTATATGCTCTCTGCTGTTGGATTTATATTAGAATAAATCCAACTGTACAACTTTGTCTACTGTTCTAATATTACGTCTGGCACACAAGGATATGGTACTGAATTCTTATGCGTATATAAGATACAGAAAAAAAGATATAAGATTCATCATTTAGAAAACGTTATGGGAAACAATTTCAACTCTCAATGTAAAAGTCATTTTCATCGTTAGATTCTATACATTGTTCTCTGTAAAATGGCAGTAAATTATACGTTTAAAGTTTGTTTTATTTCTTCTTCTGAATAAATTTGAAAACCGCTCTTCAGTCACGTGTGCGAAAACTAGTGATTATAAGAAATAAAAAAAGTGAAGTAGAGCTCTTATGCATCTTAAGATCATCTACCACTATCATGTCCACTTAATAGGTTAAAAGCTCATTTATAGTATCCCTTATTTCGTGTCCTCAATCGAATCCAGTGTACTTAAACTTTTGTTTCTGTTTAATTCACATCATTGGAGAAAACAGCAGTAATATCATATACTGCAATCAGCGTCAAAACATGAAGATTCAATATCTCTCAATCTGCTTGAGATAAAGTCCTGAAACTTGGAGGATAATTAGTATATAGCTAAATGCACGACCGAATCACTCGAATAGATTATCTTGTGAGAAAACATTTAGCTTAAAATCATGGTTCACACCAAAAAGGTATGAATATTGAAATTTTCGAATAAAATTTTGTCTAAGACAATCTAAAGACATAAAGTAGCAACAGGCCTTCCCTGTCTAATAATAGTATGTTATTACTTAGAATAATTGTATGTTTAGATTAATATGTATTAGTAACAATCATGCTGTAATCTTGTTCAAACACTGTTTTATTGCTTATTCTATTTTATTACTAAGCGTCACAATCGTTTTATAATACACCATTAGTGTTGTTATTTCTTTTAATGACGACGTTTTTTACACTATAGTTCCAACGTAATGGAATAATAGAATCGAAAGAACCAATGGCAGGCGTTCTCACTCATTATAAAAAGTCCTACATACTTGATTAATTTGGATAAAAATGTCACATTCAGATTGATGAAATCATGCATGCTTGTTAGCTATGGACATTCCGAATGAATCTTGTTTTACAAAATAGACGTTCCTGCACTCTCCAGGTTCTTTGTTGCAAGAGATATTTAAAAGAACGATTGTACACTTCTGAAACTTGAATTAACAATTTATAGCTGTATATTTCTTCTAAAAGAAAGACTGTGACGAATGCGGGAACATCTCATTTTGTTCATCAAGGTTTAATCTACAAAGTGAGACACTGGAGATCTCGTGTTTTCTTCCAAAAAATAATTATAGTGCAAAATATCAAAAGACCGTCATGGCGTTAAATTCTAGTAGCAAAATTACATAGCCAAACCGTTCTCAAAATTATCTATATTATTTCAGTAATCTGAGAGTTCACCATCGGCTTGACATCGAAACCAGAATGCAATGGACTGCACATCACGCTCAAAATATGAATGTGGCGCGAAAGTTCCGAATGAATTTGAAGTTTATCGATCTAGAATATTGAATTGTTCATTGTCATGTGACTGACATAACATATTTGTTGCATGTGAAAATCGATGACTTATGCAGGATAAACAGCTGTTCGCTGCTTTCGATGTATTCGTGTAAGTTGTGTTGAGAAGAGGATATCACGCAAGTATAGTGGATCCATTATTTTGTGAATAAAACGCTAACACTTTATCGAGCTGTCTCATACTTTTGAAGCTTGTATCGAAAAATGAGACATTTCTAGATTCGTAAGGAAACGATCAAGTTCTATTACAGCAGTTATAGAAATTTTTCCTACACTTATATGTATGCATCTGAATTCTTTAGCGCACACTGATACTTATAGTTGCAGTATGACGATGAAAGAAGCACTTTTATCGAGCTGTCTCATACTTTGAAGCTTGTATCGAAAAATGAGACATTTCTAGTTGATTGGTAAGGAAACGATCAAATTCTATTACAGCTGACCATTAAGATGAGAGAAGTCTTGTGTTTCCAATAGTTTTAACCTTGTAAAAGTCATAAAGAATTTCGAATTTAATGGTATGTGTATATTTTCTATACCATTATTGAATTAAATTTTATGGTCTATACTAATTCACATATGCGTATTCAGATACCTGCTATTCTGTTGAAATGTGCACTGAATCAGTAGTCGCACTGCTTGAACACCTTTTTGATTTCTATTATTATTATTTGTTTATTTTATTTCTTTTGGATAACCTATTAATATTCCATGTGCTTGTATTATGCAAATGTGTTGCACGTTCTCTGCTCGTTGCCCTAGAGTCGATTAACCATGACGCAGCCAAACAAGTAAATTGATAGCAGTCAGCTGAAGAATCTGTTTGAATTGTACGGATATTCCTAAATACCAACATTCTTTTACTGACTGTCGGTGCGCTTGTCTTAAACGTACTATTCTCAAAAGTATTGTGGTGTTATTCGTACTTTTTGCAATTATAAATAGTGCAAATGTTTCACCTCCAGAGAGAAAAGATTAAAGGCTTTGTTCGATGGGCATTTGACCTTACAAGTACCATTAAAAACGAGGTGTCAATATTTTTTTGGACCTTAATAAAAAGATATGTAATGATGATTTTGTTAATAGTAACAATCATATCATGCCCTGTGAGACGAATCGTTAATTTTTCCCCTGTAAACATCAAATAAACGATTCGACTTTCACTAAACTATACATATCATGGAAAAATCCAATAACCCTTAACAGTGTACTTTGTAGCTCTAACATAGACATAGCCTACAATGATAATCAGTATTAATCTATGTAGTACATTTTCTGTTTTTAATGATTTAATCAGACAGAAAATCAAAGCATTCAACTGCTAGCTGAATTATGAGTACCACTGTTAATCACCAATTTATTTTTGTGATAAAAACCAAAAAAACTTATTAAACAAACAGTCAGAAGAAAAAAAAAGGACAAATATATGCTTAAAAGCGAACATTGCTTTGTAGTTTTTGTTCTTGATATTCTCATGAAAGAATACACAAATAAATGCTCGAATATTTCCATCGTTATTACAGAAATAAAATGTAACAAACAAGAAAAAGAAAACAAGCAGAAGAGAAAAAAACTCATTCATGCGCGAAAAATACTTGTTAAATTAAAAGAATATAGTATGAATCCGAGATTAACCTTAAAAAAACATTTCAGATGAGCAGAAGAAAAAGAAAAACACCAAAACCACAATGTTTATTTGTTGATCAAAAATACACGCAGACGTACATACAAACATCGTTGCTAAAAAGTTTTGGAACGAATTCGACACTTCGTATTCATAAGCAAGACAAGTTTTGAGAGTTTGAAATTTAATGTTTGTTAATTTTTTTGTTCATGCGTGGAAAAAGTAAAAGCAGCACAACAGAAAAAGAATAATAATGATAAGATGCTTATCTAGAAAAAGAGTATGAAAGGAAATATCCCATTGGTTATGCGCAATGTTCATCGTCATACTGATGTTATTCAAATAAGAATAATAAAAAAGCTGGATTTTTTTTCTAAGTCTTCCCATGACAGCATTTCATCTTTAACTTCATTTTTACATTCACTATTCATACCATAAATTCGACCGACTGTATGTTCGATTGGTTTTTCTTGAAATTCTTGCCTAATATTATCCCTGAAGATAATTATAAATAACCTGAACTGTTGGTTTATGGCATAATTGTGTCCAATGGAGTCTATTCAAATAAGAATACTGGGCAAAACTGGATCTTCAAAGTCTTCCCATGGTACCATTTCATCTTCAACTTCATTTCCACATTCACTATTCATACGATAAATTCGGCCGACTGTATATTCGATTTGTTTTTCTTGAAATGCTTGTTTAACATTATCCCTGAAGGTAATTATAGATCATGTGAACTGTTAGTTTGTGGCGTAATTGTATCTGTCGGGGTCCTGCTGTTGTAATGCTTCGCTACTATACCGCTGTTCGCTCAGATTTCAACCGAAACTGGCTCCACTTAGAATCGCAGAATGTATGGATATACTCCATAATAACTAAGGAGTGTAGAACGAAAAACGTGAGTAAAGTTATCAACTGGATTAGACTTCCCAAGAAGGCACTCTTTTCACTTACATTTGAATATTCAAGTGGAAACTGCGTAACCTAGGTTAACATTCCTCACTGCCAATTGTCAAGTTAGAGTCGAACTTCAACACTTCTGTTTTCTTACATATATTTTAACGACTATGCTAAACTTACCAAACTGATTTAGCTATAAAATACAATGGCTTTCCAAATGGTATACCATTAAATTGAACAGCACCTGATATTGTATAAGCACCCATATCTTTCCAAACTATCCAGTCACCAACTGGTAATTTTGGTAAACGTGCTGAAGTTGTTATACAATCAAGACCATCACATGTTGGACCCCATATACTAGATGTATACTGTTCACCAGACGTATCCTTAACATCAAAGAAAGTAATTAGCTGAAATTTGTTCTAAATACTCAGGATGTATTATGAAAACGTTCTTTTAACATGATCCTGAGTTCAAGGTTGCTACAAATATAATATATACAGCTGTACCGAACGGTCATTACATCACTCAACTCTCAGAGACAGTTATGCGCGCTTACTTAAGATTCACATTCTACTAAATATAGCTGCTACTCTCATTCTACAATAACCTAGTAGACTACTTTTGGTTGTAAAGATGTTTTATTTCAATATCGTATTTTAGTACCTTAAGTAGAGTCGGCTCTGGAACATAATGATCGTACAATACACAATTAAATGAACCGTAAACACCATCGTTGACATAATACATCAATTTCTTTTCATCGGTACCTGAGAAATGAGACAAAAAAGTAGAATAAACAAAACTAAATAAAAAAAACAACTGACAGTACAAACCTGGATCAATCATTTCACGTGATGCAATAATATTTGTTGCTAGTGTATAAGCCGATGCAACATAATATCGTCCAGGTTCAGCGATAATACGAACCCCACATTGAACAGGAAAATGTTCATCTAATGCTTTGTTAACTGCCCCCGCTATTTTTGTAAAATGTTCATCTGTTCCAGTGTTGCCAGGAAAACCACCTCCGATATCTAATAACTTCATATCAAAACCCAATTTGTCACCATAACTCATTATTGATCGTGCATTTTTGATTGCATCCACAAATGCTTGACTTGTCATCTGTCCGCTACCGCAGTGAAAACTAGATGAATGTGAAAGAGAATAATATTAAAAAATATTCACTTCTAAATTTTTCTCGTAGTACAAACCTAACACCGATAACATCAAGGTCAATTTCTTTTGCTTTTTCTAATAAGAAGTGTGCTGTTTCCAAATCTGCACCAAATTTCATTGAAAATCGACAAACAGCATTTGAATCATCCGTCACAATTCGTAGTACAAGCCTAATTTGAAAGTAATGTTAATGACAAACGATTTTGGTCCTTTCAATAACTGCATACTTAGCATCAGGATAAACTTGTTTTATTTTCATTAGTTCTTGTTCATTATCAAATGTCATTGTATCAACACCAGCTTGTTTTGCGTACTGTACATATGACGATTGTTTACATGGGTTAGCATAGATAATACGATCAGATGATACACCTAAATCAATAATTTTCTTGATTTCGGTCTAAAAAAACAGAAGCAGAGTAATAGAGATAAAAGAATAAACAGTAGATCAATCTTACCTTACTAGCACAATCAAAACCAGCTCCGAGAAAAGCAAGTAATTTTAAAATCACTGTATCATCATTGCATTTTACCGCTATAACAGATAAAATTCGCATTATACTCACGATACTTCCAAAACGACAAAAAAGGAAGGCACCCAAAAGTCAGATATGTATTTGAGTGGTTGGTTCAAATACAATCATGGGAACTAGAAAAGTGCCTGAACAACATTAGTTTTAATGGCAGTGATTACCATAGTGTGGATGCACTCGTGGCATTGCTGTTAACCAACGAACATGTTTATTGCAAATATCTTCCAAATCAACAGCATAGAATGGCTCACAATCGTCTGCCTGAAACATATAACAGCCATCACGTTTAATAACTGTATCTGCAGTTTAAAACAAGTCCGATTATGCTTTCGCAGTGATGATCCAGTAACATACAAAAATGCACTTACAAATAATTCAACTTTTTTTCGAATAAATTGCACTGCTTCAAATGGAGTTTTTGTAACAACAATGGGGCAATTTTTGATAAGATGCATATTGATCTTGTTACTGTTTTTATTTTATAATATTCAATCAAAACTTGTTGTCGCAATGAATACGAAGTGTCGTATAACTATAACGGAAATAATAGTTACATTAGAGAAAAGTAATTACAACATAATTATTGTATCAAAACACTTACAAACAGAGGATAAGGTTTTTTCAGCGAATTACGCTAACGCAAAACTTGCCACGGAGGTTTTGGTTGAAGATAAAAATTTACTGCAGAACAAAACAGGCAGATGTAGTAGGCCAAAACGCCCTAAATAAAACATAAAGATGTATGTTAGCATACAAGTTTTATAAAGTAAAGAGTTAGGCTTAGATCATCCGTTTTGTAGCGTAAAGATTATCCTGTACAGCGTTTCTACTTCAGTTACTAAACATGATAATCTTACATACAGTTTCCCATTTACAAAGGTTAAGTACACTTCCCGATACATGATAAGTCACCACGTATTACTATGACCTCTTCATAGCCACACAATAATTTTCAAGTTATAAACTTTACTACCAGACGTACCTCACGAAATAGGAGAAATCGCAGCTATCAATGCTCAGATCAGATGGAAAAGTGCTAATGCATGTCACACACTGCTCCAAATACTGTGCTAGATTTCTTCTCGGATCGAGCAAGAATCCATTGGACATTAAAATGCCTATTTCTCATTTGAATGAGAACCATGAACATTATTATTCGTTGCCATCGAGAGAATATTACAACAAAACAAAAGATCTGCTATTCGTCTTTAGCTTTGGCTCTTGAGAGCGCCGAGAGACTCTATTTTTCACCCGATTCATTATAGTACTTGATCTGAGCACTTCGCATTTTTTCGTTCTCGTAGAAGGTGGAAGAGGAAATTTTGCACCACATGACCGCTTGGATTTAGACCGTGAAGAAAATAATCACCAGTCTAAAATCAACGTTTTTAGTGCCGGTAGGTACTATAAAGTGCCGAAAAGTATTGCAAGTACAAAGCAAAAAGTCTAGTAGTTTCCCATCGCTCGCAAAGCATTTCAAACCGGATGATATAAGCATAGACAGTTCTTATTTATCTTTTCATAAACTTACCTGATAAGAAGCGCCCCACCCGTTTAAATTTTTACACTCCTTGAGCAAAATTTTCAGCGCGTCTGGGTGGAAATTTTAGAAATTTATACGGACAAATACAACAAGAAAAAACTGCAACGCGTTTATAGAGATACGTATAGTCTTTGGTTAAATTAAATCGAATAACAAATAAGTCTCCTTTCGTCTCACGCAGTCGACTTAAAAATGTTTATTTCGTCCTATTTATACTGTCAATCATACTGTCAATGAGTCAGAATGACTACGTTATTGAGGCCATTACTACATAGAATTTAGTGAATATATCGTTTAAGTTAGGTTCAAAATTGCAGTTTAGACTTAAGTAGCAATTCTAAGCAATTGATTAATTACATATTTAAAATGATTACTTTTTATCAATGTTTATAACTAAAAGACACATGTATGCATTGCATTCATGCATAACACAAATATAGAAATGGTAGCAAAAATGGAAATTTTTAACCAATCAAATTAAAGTAAATCATATTATTTGAGTTTGTTCTAATTATAAAGTCTTTTTGTTCTAGAATAGAAGACTTCTTTCTCATTTTTGCACAATACAAAATAGAAGTGAATAATGCGTAATTAAGAGTATGCGTCAGGAGAGTGTCATATGGCAGATAAAAAGGATTAAGACGGTACTGCCACAGTGTAACAGTATACTAGCGTTTTGAAGGATTAGTGGAACAAAATATAAATCCTATAACACGTTTCTTTCTGTTGGTGTACACTGTACACTTTGATTGACTAACTTCTCTCTGTTTGTGTATACAAAGCGAACAACCGAAAATTGAGGTGAAAACGTTCACAGATGCAGAGTAATTCACTGTGTCCTGTTACTCGCTTGATCTCCATGAAGAGTCCGATCTGGGGGGACCAACCGCCTCCCTGCCACTATTGTTTTTTAAAAATCCCTCTCTACGTCACTGTGTCGAACAACGGTATAAAGATCAAATCTCAGATGAGAAATTAAATAAGCATTTTTCGACAAATAGATAGAGCATAAAAGTTAACTATTGTAAACGAGTTATGGGTCCAGAAAGGACTACATACCATAACACATTCGAAAACACAGTTAGCTCGTTTTACGTATGTAGATTCTAGTGAATCAGACAAATTTGCCTCCTGATTTTAATTTGTCCTGTAGCGTTAAAAATGAAGATCTGTTTGTTTTAAAATGAGTAATAGACAATTTATCAAGAAAATAATTTAAAGATCATTAATTTACGAAATTTTTTGAGCTTTTACTGCAATTCAAGAATAATTTTCTGTGCTAAAGTTAGTTGTTGACAGTTGTGTATTCCTGATTCTCTGTTTATTGTTGTGTGATTATCAGACGGAAAGATACTGATTTATGAAAACATCATATTCAATGTAGTAAAGCCTTGACCTATGACTCAAATTAAATATCAAAATGCCATTTAAAGAAAATTCTAAGATTAAGTTATGTTGAAAGTGAGAGTCATCAAAGATCTCCGACCTGTAATAATAATGACTCAGATCAATAAAAGACTAACGACAATTAGACGTAATAATGATGTTTATTTTAA